GGGCGCCAGGGGGGCCCTCCCGGCCCCTGCAGGGTGGTGGGCACCCACTGGGGCTCCGGAGAGACCCCGGGGCGGGGGCATCTCTTTCCCCTCCTCCGACACCTGGTGGAGCCCCGAGGTGGGCCCTGCGGTGAATGAGAAGCAGCCCAGGCCGCCTTTCCGCTCACATGTCCCCCTGTTTGTTTAGAGTTGGGACAAAGGTCTCTCTCGGCTGTTCACTGGGCTCTACGTGGGGCCCTGCGGGTTTCCCATTCGCTGGAGGGGACGTCAAAGCAAACAGGTTTTGCTGGCCGGTGTGGCTCAGTGGTTGAGCATCCACCTAGGAACCAGGAGGTCACAGTTGGATTCCAGGTCAGGGCGCATGCCCCCATCCCCAGCGGGGGTCATGCAGGAGGCTGCTGGTCAATGCATCTCTCTCATCATTGATGTCTCTCTCTCTCTCTCTCTCACTTCCGCTCTGAAATATATATAAAGCAAACAGCTTTGAAGTGTTCACAGGGCTGGGCCCTGGGCTAAGGGCTTTATGGGCATTGTCTCAGGTGTGTGCCTGCAAGTGCCAGCCGCACTGCCTCTCATCGCTGGGCCAGTACTTGTCGCTCCAGGGTTGACATGTGTGTGGAGGTAAACAGTCACCCTGCACCTGGGTCCCGTTGGGTGGCACTGTGAGAAGTTTGTGTTTACTTTGTAACCTTCTTCTGCCCCAGATCCCTTAGCTCCCAGGGCAGAAGGGCTCCAGCAGCTTGTAGTCCTGTGATCATTGTAACAAAACCTGAAAACGTGGTGATTAGGTGATACTAAGAATGCTCTTTTTTAAAAATATATTTTTATTGATTTCAGAGAGGAAGGAAGAGGGAGAGAGATTGATAGAAACATCAGTGATGAGAGAGAATCATTGATTGTCTGCTTCCTGCATGTCCCCTGCAGGGGATTGAACCTGCAACCTGGGCATGTGCCCCTGACCAGAATCGAACCTGGGACCCTTCAGTCCACAAGCTGACGCTCTATCCACTGAGCTAAACCGGCTGGGGCAAGAACGCTCTTCTTGTGAGAGCCAGTAACGCGCACACGCCTCCTGCCTCATTCTGCTGGTATTTCTGGAAGAAATAGAGATCTTCAAGTGAAGTGTGCCCGGGGCCAGCTCTGGTGGGCAGCGAGCGGGCTAGCCTTAGTGGTTGGCTTTCTTTGGCAAGTTTGAGAACAGCTGTTGGACTCGGCCCTCTGTCCCACGGGCCACGACCAGATTCGGGGGTGGGGGGAGGGGGCACATGGGCTGAACTTGGCGTTGGGGGCGCGA